TATTCAAGCACTTTTGAGTGCACCAAATCCCGATGATCCACTCTCCGAAAACATTGCCAAGCACCGGAAAACAAACGAGGCCGAAGCTGTTGAGACAGGTAAAATCTGTGGTTTCCTTGGATTAGGATTTGGTTGCTTAAATGCCTACTACAATCAAAAGATGCTAAGCTGCCCTTCATATAATCAACCATTCTTGTCATCCCTTAACTTTTTGCAGCAAAGGAATGGTCACGTTTATATGCAAGCGGTGCATGAAGACTGGTCAGAATCATTCACCCTCTTAAAAGAACATCTTATGCAATGAAAGCTAATCGATGTTGAATTAATATGGAAATTTGGAAGAATTGATGTTTGAAAAGAGTTTGATATTTTTCACAAAAGGGTTTCAGTTGCTACCTGCTTATCCGTTTTCCGGTTGAAAGCAGTCTCTGAAGTTGTATGCTAATATCCATTGTTGTCTAGAATTCTCAAATGCAGCTATTTTTCTGATTTTGATTATTTATCAGACAAAGAAGTTCAATGCATTTAGAGATTAATAGTCATGCAAAGAACTTTATGGTTTGTAAATTTGGTAATGACAGTGGAAGTGGAAGTTTACGGTGTGAAACCAAAAGAAAGAAGCAACGAACTATTTAAGGCAAAAGCAGAGCCACCTTGATACTAAACCAGATCGAACCCGGGAATATCTAGGATAGGCGGCCAATCTCCAGGAGAGAGCGATGTGAATGGACCAGGTGAGTAGGGATGCAGTTCCGTGGTGGGCCTTTTAAAGTTTCAAAAAATGGTTCAAAGACGGCTTTTGCCATCTATGTACACATCATTTTCGCCCCTCAAAAGCCACGATTAATAATCGGAAGAAGTAGCAGAGAGGAACAACCAAGAGGGTTGGGAAGATGATGTCTGCATATATGGCATAACCGTAATTGCCCCTTCATTTGCCATGGATGCCGCTTTGAAGAGTGAATGTATGAGTTGAGAAGATTGAGAAATGTAGGTGTGAGTTGCAAACGGTGTTGGGAGGGAGTATATATAGGGGGAAATCTGATAAAATCTCAGCTTCCCGCGTAGCAGCCTGCATGGCTCTCATATGTCAATATTTTGAGCATGCGAGGTGCGTCAATGGCAGATTTGACGTGTTGCAGGTTTCTTTTTATGTCTTCTGATATTGACTTCATTTTTCTTTGGATAAACTATAATGATCAATAATGTTAGAGTAAGTTTTTGTTTTTTTCAACTAAAATTTTAAAATTAATAAATTGGCCATTAATGTTATCGTGGCTTGTTAATTGTTGACCTGGCACCTTTGACCATTATTTTGACCAATCTCTCTCTTCCATCTTAACACTTTCGTTGTTTCTTGCTTTCTTGCTTCTCTTCGGCTTGGGTTTCAATCCTCCTTCCCATTCTCCATCATCTTCTTTGAACGTATGTTTCTGTTTCATCCTCGTGTTCTAATTGAAGTTTAACCTTACTTTAAATCCACCTTTTCTTGCATTCAAAGAGAATGAGCTTGACGTGAATTGTAAAGAAAACCCTTCAAATAATTTTGGTCATGGCTTTTTCAATGATGGCGACGAATTCCTTAAAGAACCCGATTCTTTCAATTTCAGATTCGCCAGCAGACAAGGAAGAAGAAAAAGAAAGGCTTCTCAAAAGAGATGATAGGCTTTTCAGAGGATCTGCCATGACCAAAAGAGGAGCCTATGGCACCGTCTATTACATGACTTTGGGCTGGTTCGTTCCCTTTCCTTTCTTGTTTGTTCCTCATTTTTTCTCCAATTTTTAGTTACCTAATCGCTTTGTTTCAACAAAGAAACGCAACCCTCGAATTTGGCACTAATTTGAGGTATTTTTACTGCAGGGCTTCTGAATTCTGATACAAAGCAGCTTTATTTCTTATGATTTCTCCTGTACCAATGTAATTACATTCTTTCCGGTTTGGAAGTTTTTTCCTCTAAATTCATGTGACAGAATGAATCAAGTTTCAATTGGAGAAAAAGAAAGAGAAATCACACTCCCATCTAGTCCTTGCCTCCTTGGTGTTAGGCCCTTCCAGACCAGTAATTGATGAATAAATCTTAGGCTCTAGAGAGAAGTTAGATGAAGCTAGTGATAAAATTAGTTATATCACACACATACATATATATAATATATATACACATACATATATATATATATATATACACAGTAAAAGGATGTAGAACTAAGAGAGTTGGAGACTCATGGTTCATGTTTAAGGAATCATGTCTTGCAGAAGTCCATGGTCTGGAGCCTAGTGGTGGAGGTACCGCTGAAAAAGGGCTGACGTTTTGTGCAAACAGTCAACAAACAGTGGCTTGGTTATTCATCTGAGGGTGATAATTATTAGAGAAAATCGCCTCAGTGACCAAAAAAAAGTTATAATATACGATTTTAACCAATTTTTTTTGGATTTGCCAAAATGACCAACAAATTCGCAACGCGAAATAAAAATCGCAACGCGATCCCCAGAATCGCAAATCAGTTTCCAAAATCGCAACGCGATTCTTGAAAATCGCGATGCGATAGTACAAATTCGCATTGCGATTTTCCATAATCGCAACGCGAATATGAAAATCGCAACGCGAACACATAAATCGCAACGCGTATCCGTAAATCGCAACGTGTATCCGTAAATCGCAACGCGTATGGGTAAATCGCAATGCGTATCCGTATATCGCAACGCGTATCCGTAAATCGCAACGCGTATCCGTAAACCGCAACGTGTATCCGTAAATCGCAACGCGTATCCGTAAATCGCAATGCGTATCCGTAAATCGCAACGCGTATCCGTAAATCGCAACGATAATCCGTAAATCGCAACGCGTATCCGTAAATCGCAACGATAATCCGTAAATCGCAACGAGAATCTGTAAATCGCAACGATAATCCGTAAATCGCAACGAGAATCTGTAAATCACAACACTGAAATTTTGGGTATATAACACTGAAATCATAAACTAAATCCCTAAATCGCAACTCATTCCATCTCCATCTATCACTCTCTCCGGCGACATCCGTTCCTATATCCAACGACATCCTTCCCAATCCGGCAACAGGTTTTAGTTTCGCAGCTCGTCTGTTTAGTAAATTAATTTACAACCATGAAATCATCTAATGTTGATCATGTTTGGATAGATTTGTGTTTTGGAGGGTCATGGGATAATGTTCATGGTGTTTTACAATATATGCCTTTACCCATGAATCTTCAACTAAAATTGTCTTTACAAAAGTTAACTTATGAAACTCTAATGCTACGTGTTTCAAATAAATTGAATTTAGAGCCCCTAAGTGGATTTAGGCTATCTTATCAGAGAAATGGTAAAGTTTAATTGTTAACCGACAATGAAGATGTTGAACGATTCATTGCTTACATTAGTGTTTCACAAGATGATGTTACATTGTATGTTGTTGAACCTAGAAGTAGTATTGTTGGGTCAGTAGCGGGTAGTAATCAACTAAGTTTTTCTCAAAACCCACAACCTTTCTCTAATCCAAATCCCAATCAACTTTCAGCACCAAATCCCAATCACGATTGGCTTCACCTTTTGAGACTGTTAACTTAGGTGATTTTTAAATGCAAACGTTGTATTATGTGGATTTTATGTGTGAACTTTTAACATTTTCAGTTGAATTAATGACTCAGGCCAACCATTTTGACTTAACCAACTCTTGTTATTCAGTTGTTATCACTATTAGGCATGCATTTGACTATCGCAACACGGAAAATACAATCGCAACGCGAAATGAAAATCCCAACATGAAAATCGCAATGCGGAAATGAAAATCGCAACGAGAGAATCGCAATGCGAAATGAAAATCGCAATGCGAAATGAAAATCGCAACGAGAGAATCGCAATGCGAAATGAAAATCGCAATGCGAAATGAAAATCGCAATGCGAAATGAAAATCGCAACGACAGAATCGCAATGCGAAATTAAAATCGCAATGCGAAATGAAAATCGCAACGAAAGAATCGCAATGCGAAATGAAAATCGCAACGAAAGAATCGCGTTGCGATTTACGGATACGCGTTGCGATTTTATGTATTATCGTTGCGATTTACGGATACGCGTTGCGATATACGGATACGCATTGCGATTTACCCATACGCGTTGCGATTTACGGATACACGTTGCGATTTACGGATACGCGTTGCGATTTATGTGTTCGCGTTGCGATTTTCATATTCGCGTTGCGATTATGGAAAATCGCAATGCGAATTTGTACTATCGCATCGCGATTTTCAAGAATCGCGTTGCGATTTTGGAAACTGATTTGCGATTCTGGAAACTGATTTGCGATTCTGGGGATCGCGTTGCGATTTTTATTTCGCGTTGCGATTTTGTTGGTCATTTTGGCAAATCCAAAAAAAGTTGGTTAAAATCGTATATTATAACTTTTTTTTGGTCACTGAGGCGATTTTCTCTAATTATTAATTAGGCATCTGCATGAGCAATTCGTGTGGGAGGCTCTAATTTCTTTTAAAAAAATGCATGTAATTACTATCCATGCAAATATTATAATTAATAAAGCCAAACGTCATTGGCTATTGATGCAATTATGGTGACATCTATTATCGATTCCAAACATTTCGTGGTATGGATGCCGAAACAGTTGAATTCTTGGCTCTTAGCATGCTTCGCCATGACCAGAGGTGTAATAAAGTAGGGACTTATGCGTATTGAATTCACAAAAGATCCTTGCTTGACATATAAGGCTGCATCAATTTCTTCAAGGGTGACCGGTTTTCCTTAAAGGATCTGTCCAACTTCTCTATAAGAGAAACCAAAATCATGACCGATTTCCGAAATTTACTATTTTATTGCTACTTAAAACATCAAGATCCAGTCTTTCTTCTACAGAAACACAAAATGTCTCAAAACACTACAAACTGGTGCCCAAAAATTCTGGCTCTCTGAAAATTGTTCCTGCAAGCTACTACTTCTTGCCGCTCAAGTCAACTACTGTCTATACTCTGCTTTCTACTTGCCTGTTTTCTACTCACTGCTGCTCAGACTCCGCTTTCAGTTTGGTACCAGCTTCATTGTCGCCGTAAGAGCGGTCCAATTGAGTTTCTTGACATGTCCCAACTCTAAACCTGTCTTCCAGCTCGGTCGAGCAATGATTATGGGTATCGACCGGCTCTACCATTGCATGGATACGTAATCTAGTAGTTTCTGTAACACTCAAGGCTGTTTTTTCACAAGGATCCTCTCCATCAGCATAAGTGATTTTGATTTTCCTCATACCATCAATTCCCGATTCTTGCAGATTCTTGTCTCTGACAATTTCAGTTTCTGTTTTGGCATTGGCTTCATGAACGGATAGATCTCCTACAGGGTGAATGACTACATCAGTTGATTCTTGATACAAGGGCTTCTTAAGCAATATGGTTCCAGGAAACACCATCAAGTTGATCTTTGCTAGCATTTTTCTTTCATCCTCCTCCACCACCGTGAAGCCAAAAGAATTGGTCCATGTTTCCACTAAATTCGGAACAGCAGTTATGACCAGCTTTTCAACCTTGAATGAGATAAGCAACTAGAGGTGGCATCGATCCAGATGGTGAACAACAAAGAAAATTGTCACACAAAAAAAACATTAATGATGATCTCAATCCACTATTAGGAATTCACGAATTTAAAAAGTCAAATTCAAGAAACAATTTGTTAATAAAGTACCTCTTCAATGACATTCATGAGGAGTCGACACATTCCTTGCCGACGGTAGTTAGCACAAGTTGCTGTAAGAGGCATCTCTGCTAATGTTACCCCATGAATCCTAGACCACATGGCAGATAAAGGCTTAGCATAAACAAATATGTTCACCAAATAGATCCCAAACTGATTAAAATGTTAAAATAGGAGAATGTAAATTTGATTTTCTAAAGTTAACTTGCTAAATAAGTGAGCACTTTCACCTCAAACCATCTTAATATCCTATGTTACTTCCACCTCAAACCATCTTAATACCCTATGTTAATTCCACCTCAAAACTATCTTAATACCCTATATACTCGGAGATGGGTGTACCCTCGTACACAAAATGCATCCAATTTCTTACAACATCACAGTAAAAGCTAAAAAGGGAGATGCTAACTATTCTCCCACCAAGAAATATATATATATATATATATATATAAGGGATAACACAACATACTGAGTTGTTTTGAGTTGTTAAAGAAAGTATTAAAATATCGAACAACTATGTACAATGTCCATACTACCTGATGCATGCTACAGATATCAACATGTCATCCTTCTCCAAGACAAGAGTATAAAATCCAAAAAAATTAAGCCGTGCGAAATCCGACCTGATCATTTAAACAAAAAAGGATCACGAACCATAAGCAGCCTTGCAAGCAGGAAATAAAAAATTACAAACAGTGTAAAATACATGTCTAAGCACTGGATGACACTGAAAAGTAAGACTGCAAAAGGAGGAAATGTTGAGTAGAAATGTAAAAGCCAAGTCCATAATGTTGAAGATAATAGATGAAAAGGAAGTTTATCAAACGAAAAAAAAAGACTGGGTAACTCACCCCCAACTGTACAAGAGTTGGGGTATCATATCTACCCCCGTTCTTGGATCAACCATGGATTGAAAGCATTCTTCCATGATAGACAAAGCGACAGCCAATTTCGAGTTGCATTCTGCCTTCAGGGCAAGCCTTTGAGGGGAGTAAACTTTTTGATCTTCGTGAATGCATTTAAGAAGTGTCCAAGAAAAGCCATCAAAGAGGTGATTAATCATCCCAAGACGAGATGTAAGACCTGAGTATAGCTGCAAAATACCAGTGAATCTGGCATCAGAACTTAAGAAAGATAATGTGGAAAATGACATGCCACATAAGACAAGGCACAAAGCAACCAATTAACAGTTGTAGCTAAATAATCATAGTCAATATCTATGCATAAACTGTTTTCCTTTCTAGGTTAAAGAAATGGCTATGAAGTGAGAATTAAAGTATAATAGATCATTCAAAGCCGATTGTAATGGCAGGATGGCACACTTCAGTTGACATGGATTGCAGACATTGTCAAGTCTAAAAGCTGAGATGCAGCCTAGCTAAAAATGCAACATTTTTTCAATTGGAAATAAGTATAACTAAACGAGTAAAGTGTTAAACTCATGTAAAGAATACTGAAGGCATTTTGTATATGTTCATTTGACAGATTCTTTGCAACACAATCTGAGTCAAGAAGTTTTGAGTCTCAAAAATACCTCCTCACAGCTTTCCCCACAAAGCCAAGTATTAGAAACCTTTGCTTTAGACCGGCTTTCATCATTCAAGCATTCTTTATGATCTATTTACAAACATAAACTAGAAAATCAGAATTGGCAATCACCAAAGTAGCATCATAAACGCACACACAATGACAATAAAATAAATGGTAAATATGTATAATGTCCATAGCGATTTAATGAAACTACTCATTAGGTCTGGAAGTAGATTTACAATTTCTAATGATTTTATGAAACAAAATAGACTAACATTTTCTTTGAACGGAATTTCTTTGTTTTGCTCCCTGAGAAAACTAAATCAAGAAACAAAGAAAAAAAATTCTCTCAATAGCCTGCCTCACATCTAAAATAAGACTATTTGCCCAAATTATATGTCAAGAAGTGTATACTGTCTGTGGTTTGAGAAAAAAAAACTCAATGATCTTTAATCCTTGGGGAAGGGTTCCTATATATACATGTACTGTTTCCCTAAATAGCAGAATTAATAAATAAAAGAAATTAGGGAAGAAATCAGAGAAATAAAACTCCTAAAATGGCCCCTAGACAATTTTCCTAAAGTAACTTCTAACTCCTGTTTTCTCTCAGTCTTCACAAATAGTTTAACCTTTTAATAGGAAATGGCATGCTGAAGGTGGGAAATTACATTTGTGTTCACACTGGGAACATTTAAATGCACCAAACAAACTTGAAGCCTCTTCATCAGTAACAAAATCCCCACATATCCAACAAGTGCAATTTGAGCAATACCAATCACCCTTAGGTAATTCCTGGACGCAACAAATTGAAGCAAATGAAATAATTAGAGGCTAAATAACAAAAATATACTAAAGCAACATTCTTTGAAAGAAAGAGGGAAAAAATAAAGTCATAGTAATCTATATTCACTCCATAATAGAGAAGCAAAAGCATGTCATAAGCACTGAGAGAAAATATTACAGAACCTAATAAGGGAAAAATAATCATTGTTCACTAGTAGTTATGAGCTAGGTGTAGGTCAGTGCCCCCCCCCAAAAAAAAAGAACATTGACCCAAAGACAAACCTGCACAGACAAGCAGGCTAGATGAAAAGTAGAAGGGCAATTGTCACAACAAATTAGTTCACCACCATCTCCACATACACCGCAGGAATCATCATTCCGATCATTTTCATCAGCTTCCACCTTCTGGATCCCATATTTTTTGGTCTTGAACTCAGCAGACCATGCTTGTAGCTGACATAAAGTGAAAGGCTTACCAGATTCCATGTAAAGATTCAAGCAGGGACGGTTGAACTTGAATCCAGCATGAATCTTAAACTCAGAAACTGATAGCACATTGTTGCAACAATTGCAGGTTATTCCATCCCAGGAAACAAAACCATCTTTAATGATAACATCATCCTTAGGGTTCCGATATTGAATAACTTCATTAAGTGAAATGACCCCAGCTAGGATCAACCATGAGAGCACTGTTTTAGATCCAACATTATACAAATTCATTTCAGTAATATGCTTCCCTCCTTTAACCTTTCCTCGAGGCAGCAACCTCAGATGGCCCCTCTTTCTCTTGAGCTTGGTCTGAGCTCTAATTCTTGGGGCCTTCAGTCCATATCTGGTAGCACCCAAGCTTAGGTCTTTGTTTCTTATAATTGCAGAAACCAGCAGGTCACCATCTTGGATTTGGCATTTAGTTGATTTCTTCTTTCTACTTTCAGAACCATCACGCTTACCGCAAACCCTTTTAAACTTGGAGCTTTTTTTCTCCACATGATGTAAGAAAGACCCAAGAGATGAGGACTTTTCTAAGCTTCCCTCGGTTTCAAGCAATTCTTGGACCTCTTTTGAATTTAATTCAGCCTGGCATGAGCCAATATCTTGTTCACTCATATCATCAGTATAAGAACATAGAACATCACTTTGATATGCTGTGGTCAATCTAATTTCAGATATATTTCGACATCTCCTGTGTTCCTTGTTTTCCAAAATAGCATCTTGTGCACAATTTTTATGATTTGTTTCAAACTTCAAAGCTTCAGCAGACTTCTTGAATTGATCTTTACCATCCCCAGACTGAATCACGCTGTCAGTAGGGTAGTTTGGATGGTCATCCAGTAAATGCTGTGGAAGATTTCCAACATTGCCAGCATCTAGAGCTCCAGATTTTTTATCTTTTTCCTCTAGAGATTCAACTGATACATCTCCTGGAACCTCATTAGGAATTTCGACATTGCACAAAGACATTTGTTTACCTGAGCTTGGAGAAATTGTGTTGCTATCTTGGTGAGGAGAAGCAGATTCAAAACCCTGAAGCATGTTGATAACATCGCTAGAAGCAACACGATCAGTACATTTAAAACTACCTAGCTGGTCATAGATGCTATCTGATCCACAAGCATGGGATGAAGCCATATGCAAACCTTGGACCTCGCAACCAAAAGTTTCTAACCTTTTAGTAGTATCTACCAAAAATGTACCTTCTTGGTCAGCCATATTAGATACATCTTTCAGACCTTTTTCAGCCCCACTACTCATTTTACCATAGAATTTTGACAAACTTCCATTGCCAGAGAGCTCATCAATGGAATCAAAACTGCTCTTGGCAGCTGTCAATGAACTTTTAGCAGCCAGAGAAGAATCACAATACTGAGTTGGCATCTTTCCCTGAGAACAGAACTTTCTCATAGAACCTTTTTTTCTCTGTGTCAGAACAGTATTTGTTTTCTTGTTATTTTCAATAATTAAACTTCTTCCTGCTTTAACCTCATCTCCCTTTCTTAATGAACCAATCTTCCTATTAATAAGTACAACAGTTACAAAGGGGTCTAATAGTGTCCAATGTCGAGCCAATGCAGTAGAAAGGTTGGTTTGGTTATCTTCTTTCTCGATATTCAACAATGTCTCTAATAGATCTGACCAGAATTGGATCATATCAGTCCATTTCTTTACATCATTTTCCGGCATGCAGTAGTATCCATTAGCCAACAAAACCTGACCGCAAAATCTCCAAACTTTAGGGAATTCATAAAATAGCCTCCCATCAGGAGATCTATAAACTGTATCCCAATAACTCCTACTGGGCCTTTTATGCCTCTCAATAAACCAGCCTGCTCCTTTTAGTACGCGAAAAACATGGCACCGCAGAAGAGGACGAGGATCCTTCTTAGACAGTGTTGCCCCAGACATAACAGAACTGTCCTCTCCAAACGATTGACATAAATTACGTCTTTCCTCAGCACAAAAAGGAGACTCAAACTTCTCCTCAGCAGTTGCTGGATTTGAAACAACAAGCTTCGATGCAAAGCTCTCCTGAGAGACAGGTGAAGCTATAACTTTACCTACTACCACTTCTTTCCTTTCACCTGCGTCTGAATTTTGTAATCTGGACTTGGTAACATTTATATCTTCCATTTCAGCATCTCTGTCCATTTCTACAGAAGATGATTCAACCAAATGGAGTGCGACTCGCTGACCAACAGAATTTGTAGGTGTCGAGGGCAAGCCGCTAACTATTTCCTTCTTCTGCAAAGGTGTGCTCAAAGCCTTCTTCTTTTGTGCTTCACCCCTGGAAACTTCACTAGTGGAAAACTTCATTCGCCTGAAACTCGCATTCTGGTCCTCTCTCTCTGCCAGAGCAAATTTCTTAGGAAAGCTCCCTGATGCAGAAACCCAACCACAACTCTCATTTGTTGTATTGGTGTCCTCCTGGCATAACTTTTTTGAGAAAGACCGACTTATTACAGCTGAGTTTGCGCTGTTAGAACACGGTGATGCCTCTGGATTCTTGCTACTCTCAAAATTAACACCTCCAGTAACAAGCCACCTTTTACTTGTGCTGCCAGTATCATTTCCAACAAAAACTTCCGTAAAATTACTGTGCTCATATTGTAACCCCTCAACACCATCATCATGCAAATTTTCAAAATCTTTACTGAACATCTCTGCTAAATGCAGTCTCACTTTGTCCTATCTATATGCCAGCAATAAGATCAGGCATTAGATATTTTCCGCCATAACAATTGTTTAAATAATCGTAAAGCCTAAATAAGCTTAAAACCTTCAAAAAGTAATATTAATTGTGGGGTATGTCGAGATTCACTAATTCTGCGATAAAGTGGTAGCATAAATGAACATTAAAGTCAATGAAGACAACCATAAATACGGATTAAAGCAAGCCATAAGTAACCAAATAGAAAAATCATAAAGAAATGTAAAACAGACGAACAACCTGAATGCATGTTATCCTTTAGATGTTTACGTTCTACATGAAGGAACCATATGAGACAATAGCAAAGAAAACTACCAAAAGTTCCCTCCATTGAGACTCAAAATGCACTATAATCTATTGAATGATGATCACTAAACAGAATGTCTTTGATGAACCAGTGCAAAGAAATATATTTTTCTTGCTTTTATAATGTGTTCGTCGCATATCACCATCATCAACTAACCTTTAACACAAGACCAAGAAAATTGGGATCCCATCCACTTCCAGTGGTATGCAAAGACTCCAGTTATAGAATTGTCTTTTGCTGATGAGTCCATTTAACCACAAATAAGGAAAACATATGAGCTCAAATAGACATGCAGTAAGGATACAGCTATGCTCAAGGAATGTTTGCATACCAACAGGCAGCATAGGGAACAAAAAACCATCTTAGTATACATCAATAATGATTAGCCATGACCTAATTATTCCTTGACCTTATTACTTAATGCTACTTTCCAAAACCAGGTTAGCCTTTTATTAAATTTATTCTCCTTGTCAAATGCACGAGATTAAAGCAGAAGAAGTGGCAAATGTTTTTACTAGATAAAAATGACTGGTTCTGAAATGTTAACAGGCATCGCCCTCCTCTCTCTTTGGAGAAGCCAATGTGAGGATCATGCTGGCTATAACAGTTTGATGCAAATGTAGCCACATTTTCAAAGACAACATGCACAAATATAACCGCCATGTGATATTATTGACTTACAAAGAAAAAGTCATAAATGCACCCACCATTCCACTTGTCTCATACCAATTGATGTGTACATATATACATGGATACCATGATAGTTAATTTTCTATAGTTCTGATTATCTCCAAATTTGGAATGTGGCAACACCGCATTGGTTATCAATGCGAGATGCATAAATATTTCAGATGACTTCTAAAATATGTGAACCAATCCATAGAAGGATTCTTAAAGCTTTTCCCAGTATCATACGTGAGTTCTTGATAGTTTCTTCCATACATAAAGATCGCAAAAGTTTAACTATATCATTAACTTAACATACAATTCAAGCTATACAAACTTTTCGTGAAGCTTCTAAAGAATTTCCCAATCCCCACTTCTTTCACGCCAAAAATGCCAAAAAACAAATTCAATTTGACACAAAGTTCAACACCAAACCTTTGTACCTGGATGTCGTTTCCTCCTTTTTGCAGTAGATATAACAGAAATATTCTATCATTATAATTTTTTCGGATAAGTAATAGATTCATTCAAATATCAAAAAAGATACAGCACCTAGCTGCAACAAGTACAGCCAGACAGGAATCAACAAGGATTCCCCAGACCATACAGCAACAGCAAAACCAAACTAGAATCAACAAAGAATTCCCCAGGCAGACCAACAACAACAAAAACATCCAAACAGGAACCAACAGGGATTCCCCAGACAAACCAGCAACAACAGATCAACCAAACAGAATCAACAAAGGATTCCTCAATCATTACAAAGCTGCAAATTCACTCTATCCTGCATGTTAATGCAACAACCATGCAATTTAGAGCAAACAATTTCTCTAATATTCTATCAGTATTGCCATTATTATGCATGCCTACATTTCGAAACTAACAACTAGCCTCCTATTTTCAGCTTATGAGAAAAGAAGCATTATATCACAAAAGAAATAGAAAATACAGAAAATCGAAATACTCATACTCTCACTGCAACAAGAATCCAAATTCGGAACACAATCAATACAGAGAAGTACTTTCACCCGTAAAGTAGAAAATCAAAATGCTCATTCTCAGCAGCTTCAGCAAGCTTTACTAAAAATTGATAAAGTCTATCATAAACGAAAATCATTGAACCCTTCCTAATTTCACCCCGCCTCAAATGGAAATGGACGAAAATTATACACACACATGTATATAAACATGTATTCAATTTATGCCATTACCAAGAATTGTAGAACCAAGTAATGCATCAGCCAAAATAAACGACAGTTGCAATTTTGAATTTCTTTTACGTATTAGTCAAAATTCTTAATTTTTCATTACAATTTATCATGCATCAAACATATATAACCTGTTTTTTTATAAAAAAAAAACCTCATCAGAATTGCTAAATGAAATGAAAATACGAAATACTCAAGGACCCAGAAAAGCAAATGAGATTCAGATCAAAACCCAGAACCCAAAATCAGAAGAAAAAAGATCACATGCATTAATCCAGTATCAATGTTTCAAAATTTTATCCAAAACAAAACAAAAAAGAGCTCACCTCTATAATGCATGTTCTGATCAACATGCAAAAGTAGAACAAACTTTTAATTTAGCGTTGAAGAGCTAAGAAACTGAAATATTTTCATCTGAAAAAACCACCAAAAAACAAAAAGGAGAATCTTAACGTAAAGATATTCAAAGAAGTAGAAATTTGGGCTTTTGTTTTTTTCCTTTTCCTTCGGCTTCATCAGCTTAAAATATTAAGGAATCCCCAAGTTTTAAAACTGACGAGGCTTTCAAAAACCCGAATAGTGCTCCACTCTGTAACTGATGGCAATGGCAGGAAAAAAAAATATTAAAAGAAAAATCCTCAAGTTGAGTTTATATATCTTGTAAGTTGTACACTGTACTTCTCCCTTTCCACCTTACTTTCGTCATTGCCATTTTTATTATTATTATATATTTATATTTCAGTTACCATTTTAGTTATATAAATAAATAAACCGTTAAATAAATATAGTATAGATATGAATAATGCTTCCAGTTACAATTAAATATATCATCTTTGGGTGATAACGGTAATGCGTTATTGCAATATTTCTCCTTCATATTCATTTATCGTAAAAACACTCAAATGGATACTCAAACAAACTGCAATAATACATGAGAAACTCGGTAATGGCTGAGTTCCCCATGGCGAGTTGGGGAAGACGGCAGTGAAACATGGCACAAAAGAATTATACCCTGAATCCCTATAGTCTATGGCTGGAATAATGAGAATTTGCTTAACTAAAATGATACGAATCAATGGAATTTGTTTACAAGCTACTGCGTAATTACATCACAAAAGAGTAGAACAGTATTGAAGAATATCCAACAGGTTTTCGTGTGATTTTTTACATATACATGTAACAATACATTGAGGTCCGTAATGACACAGTTTTCTTTAGACACATTCCATTGTACTCGAGATCTTTGATCGAGGAACTATATCTTGTCTCATGAGTATTCATGAGAGCTATAACAACCATTTACCTGAGCCTCCTCACTTGATCTTTGTATTTGTTTCGACTTTATACTATCTTTCGACCAACAACAGTTGCAAAACATGAATCTTTCCCCTGCACCCATGGAAGTTTTCAAGACCCTAACTGGTTGAAGGCTCGAGGTGTTAGATTAAAATCTATATTTGTAGGCACATGTATAATGTACAATGTTATCATAAAGTATGACACAAAATTAAGTGACCAATTATATTACATGTGTTATATGTATTAAAGTGTCATGGAATCAAAGTGTAGATACCATAAGTTGTATTTATAATTTGATGAGGGGCAAAATTATAAATACTTAAAAGATTGACATAATATTCAATCTATATAAAGAGGCAGTGGTCCCAGGGATTTAATTAGCTGTCGTGGTCGCGTTTTCGATTGCGTCGCATTTATCGCGGTTGTGGACATAACGGATACCATCGCGGTCACTGCGGGTGTCACGGTCGTAATTTTTTTTAAATTTCGCACAACTTATCCTAAAACATAATAATTATAATTATAAAGATTCATTTTTAATAATTTTTAAAATGTTTTTGTAAGTGAAAATGACACACACACATATATATATATAATATAGTTTAATCAAAATAATATCATATATTTCATTACTTGAAAATTTTTACTGTAAAAGCTTTAGATATACTTCATTTTATATATCAAGGCTTGATGCCTTTTCAAATTAAATATAATCTGTGCTGAGAACCTGTAGGTTATAAAATGGAACTTCTGTGTTGTTTCTCCATGAAATGAAATTTCTTGGGTGCCTGAACTTTTAATTGGCTATGCAAATTTTTTTATCAGTTGTTACTTGATGGAATCATGATGTTAAGTTTTGCCTATCATAAGAAACTTATGCCTTGGCTTGAAAGGCATTAAAACAAGGTCGTGTTCGAAGTGTATTTGGTTTTAAAATGGAATTTAACTGATTTTGTACCATCATTTCATCTATGAATAGCCAAATCATGCTTTCTTTTATAACCTTTTTTTAGGTGTTTTGTAAGCTTTTCGAGAGTTGATTTCTTGTTATTTTCTTTTCACAGATACAGGGCGATTACAAGTGCATACTACCGTGGAGCTGTTGGTGCATTGCTTGTATGTGATGTCACTCGACATGTCACATTTGAGAATGTCGAGAGATGGTTGAAGGAACTACGAGGTCACACAGATTCCAATATCATGATTATGCTTGTTGGCAACAAGTCACACCTGCGACACTTGGGTGCAGTTTCCACTGATGATGCGAAGGCCTTTGCCGAGAGAGAAAATACCTTCTTTATGGAGACATCTGCCCTCGAGTCTACGAATGTTGATAACGCATTCACCGAAGTACTTACACAAATACATCATGTTGCCAGTCGAAAAGCGCTTGAAGTAGGGGATGATCACGCAGCATTGCCGAAGGGACAAACCATCAAATTCAGAGGCAAGGATGATGTTTCAGCCGTCAAGAACGCTGGCTGCTGTTCTGCTTAGATGTTGTATGTTGTACCCTCCATTTTTCATCTCTTTGAGCTCAAGATTTGAGGTTGAAGTCAAATGAGAACAAAGCGGCTTCCAAATTTCCTTCATTTGGTTTCAGTTCCATCTTCGTGGTTCTTTTATGGTATTGTGCTTCCTCATGTAATGTTCCATTTTATAGTTTTGTTGTGTTTGATTGTTTTAGATTACATGGCAAACAGATCTAGTTTGGGATTTTTAATAAAATATTAATTATGTATGATAATACATGTTAAATTCCGTGGTAGGTACCTTTGAATTTATTTAAAGCGTCTGCCGGATACACTATACAACTTGAAATGGTAAAATTTCGCTACTAGTCCATGTATTATGTTAAGTTATAGATTTAATCCTTGAAAAAGAGGGATGGGAAAAAGATGGGCAACAAAAGTGAAATGGACTTCAATGGCTGAAGTTCTCGAAGAAGATTAGAACATTTGACATGCAAAATATAAGGGAAATGTAACACATACAACATAGTATTATAGAAAAAATAAGAAAAATTATGAAGAACACAGTTGAAGTTTAACATTACAGCATGAAACTGCATAATGATTTGTCTGTACAATTGTTTGATAATTACAAAGCCAACAAATAATGGATTGACTGTCTGTTATAGATGTCTGCAAGTTCATGTACAAAATACTTGACCAAATATCAATATAGATAGAAACATCTAGGAGTGCTTTCCAAGATCTTGATTCTACCAACACCATCCATTTTATATAATTTATTGTTTTATCCTCAATTATGCCACCTCCATTATACATTCTTGGACTCTTTGGTTAATGCCTCGGATTTGCAGATGGGGCATGCATTCTTCACGAACAGCCACTTCTTCAAGCAATCTGTGTGATAATTGTGTCCACAATCAAGAGTTCCGATCTTCTCTTCGTTCTTATAATCCTCCTGCAAAAATCCAAGAGAAATAGCAAATACCATCCATTAGGAATCAATGGTGTCGTGCAATGATGTTTGCTTTGAGCTTGAAAAGAGAAAGAGATGTGCAGTGTTCAAGCTTATCGGTAAAGAACAAAGCTAGCTCTAAGCACAGTCTTCATTACCTGGCAAATAATGCACGAATCGGGTTCCTGGTCAATAGGTGCTGCTTCTTCCAGATTAATATTTGTAGCAAATGTTGAATAAGTTATTGTTTTCAATTTACTTGTGATGGTTTCCTCAGACAAACCGGTATTCACATTTCCAATCCGCTCACCCAGAGCCAACAGTTCCTATTGATCATTTGGAGATTTTTCGAATAGACTGTCAGTAAAAGTAAAATTAAACCATAAGACAAAACATCATATATGAACTTACCTCGTACGACATGTCCTCTATATCCAATTGCATATCTCTGTGATGATCGACATAATTTCCTACTTCATCAAATTCTGGGAGCTCCAATATAGCAACTCCCTGCACCAAATCAATTCAAAGATATCACCATATTACAAACAAAAAATTAACAACAAAAATCCATTGTATATGAATTCCTTTTTCCGGATTGCAGAAAAGAAAATGAAGTAATAAACAGAAAGTTAACAGATAAATAACATTGCAGAGATGGTGGTGTACTAACATCTGGTGGAAGAACTCTCAAGTGAGGAAGATTATGGTGTCTCACAGTGGTCTCAGATACAACACCACTCTCTTGGCGAGAATGATATATCCTAAAGCCGGTAGGAGGCATTGGTCCCAAATGCCTACGCCCCACCTCCCACCCATCATGTGAAGGATTCATGACGCCTGGTGAGGTGTAACTTGCTAGGGAGCGATGAGGAACCGGTGCTACTTGTGGATGAATGTTAATGCTATGACTTCTTACTCCTTCAATAGGTGGTGCAGGGTGATGGAAGTTATGGTTCCGAACATCAAGGGGAGAAGATTGAGAAAAGTTTGCAGAACTTCTAAGACTAGTCTCCATAAGTGCAACCACATTGCTACCTGCACAGACAATCAGTCATAAGACAGTGAAGAGTCCACAGCAATCAATTTCAAGGAAAAACAGATTCCTATATCACCTCATTTACATGGAAGCTGTTTTAAATAAAAGAAATATTTCTACAGAAAGTAGCTTATTTAAAATTGAAAGTCCTTAAACAAAACAAGGAAAGAATAGAGGAACGTTGAAACCACCATGCATATAAGGAACCCCAGGAGCCTGGGTCCAAACTGGGGCACCTCCATCTGTTATTGTTGGCTGAAAAGGCTGGCCAATGTAATTTCCCTGAAAAACATGGTTAGCACTATGCATCAAAACGGGATCCACTGCAGTTGCCCCTAATCTGTTCATAACACTTCTTTGGGATCCAGCTTCTCTAATCGGTGGAGGGCCATTCCCCCTTAACTGAGGAATGGTGAAGGGTGCCACATCGATTGTGCCAACTCCATCAGGATGTCTAGCATTTAATGGTGTGCCCGAGGAACTAGAGCTTGGTGAGGCATTAAAATGCTGAAAATTTGCTGGGATTACTTCAGAATTCTTTCTCTTATATGAGCCTCTAACATTATCCATGAAGTGGCAACTCCTAGCATATTCATCTGCTGAAACTCCTAGGAAGGCATAGTTGCTTGAAGGTGGCATCTGGTCCGTGGGTCCATGATTTACAGGAGCACCCAACATAAGGTTAGCCATATAGGGAATGTAATAGTTGGATGCACTTCCAATACCAAGATCAAGATTTGGGGAATGATTATGATGCTGAACACTGGGGTACTGGGGAATCCCATAGAACATACTGTTGCTATAATGCTCCGGTAAGGGATGAGTATCAAGAGTAGTTGTGCTCCCTGGCGCTCTGACTCTCATCTGCAAATCAGGTGGTGGGTAATTAGGTCTGCCACCCAAAATGATGCAGGGCTCGTGATGGGGATATCCCTGGCCATGCTGATCCATTTCTAAATCTATCATTTGGTTAGGGCATAGCATATTTCTGTGACCCATGGTGTTCCAATAAATTGTTGTTACAACTTGTCACTGCTTCGAAGTCCGAAAAAGAAACTTTAGCACATATTCAACCTAAAGCCAAAAACGATGGAATGAAACTTTAGCACATACTCAACCTAAATCCAAAAACGGGACAAACATCTTCTTTATCCATCTTAAATCTGAAATACATGACATGCAAAGTATCACTTGATAATCAAAGGTTCTCATCTATTTATTTGGAATTTTATAACATGCATCTATTTCACTAGAAACATAATCTTCAACACATATTTGACCTAAAACCAAAATCGGGACAAGTTTCTTCTTTATCCATCTTAAGAGCTGAAATACAGACATGCAAAGTATTATTTGCTCATAAAACCTTCTCATCAATTTATTTAGAATTTATGATATGCCCTATTTCACAAGAAACGTAAATCAATTGCTTCCACAAATGGAAAATAAGCAAACATACAAAGAGCATTTAACACATCCACATTTCAAATTGCAGCATTGGCAAACCAAGAAAGGGTTGACACGAGAAATAGAATCCAGGACAAATGCAGGGATCCTCAAAAATATACGTATGATTGTGCTCTCTTAACCTAAAATGGATCGCCAAGAGGAAGTAAGAACTAATTTTTCCACTACTAAAATATATCTCAAATAGATAGGTTCTTGTAGAAACAAGCATTCCCATAAAGCAAAAAGCCTCTTTCGAGTTCTGGCATATCTTCCCAATTCTCAAAAGTTCAAAACGCTAATCATCCCAAAGATACTTTCATACATCTTCCTCACATCATCAAAACCTTAAATTTTCCCCTAAAGAATTATTCACCGCCAAAATATGCATTCAAAATAACAACTCATCACCAAAAGCATGCAATCAACAAAATCACCCTATCAAACTCTGGAAAGCAGAAATTGCCAGTATTTACCCTCTTGTATAACTACATCAAGCTGTTGATATGAAAAATATAATTATTTGATAATCTTTAAATATATATATATATACTTCAACTTTTTTTTGTAATAATATTTCCAATCCTAAAGAGCGTCCCAAAAGTTCTCCTACCAAGCCCCTGTGGTTAAAATTTCGAATAAACACAAAAAAATAAAAACGAAAAATCATAATTTCAATGAATTGTTAAATGTCCGTTATCTATCAAGCAATTAAAAATCCAAATTAGTTAACAACATGCAAGTTCAAATTAAGCAGGAGAATAAAAGAAAAACGATGGGTGCTTTTTCTTTGCCGTACCTTATGATCATATGACCAAAATCACATCCCAAAAACAGAAAATCCTGGGGGAAAATATCAAAAACCCAAATCAAACCAAAAAGGCTTAAACTTTCGTTACTTTTTCGTGCATTAATCAAAATCCACGGAATATAAAAATCCTGGAAAAAAAATAAATGAAAGACAAACCGTGTCGTAGCGAAATTAAGGAAATAAATAGAACGAGAAATTGAGAGATCTGAGGAAATGTGATTCAGAACAGAAAATAGAAAGAAAAAATATTTAGAAGATCGAGAAAATGAGAGGAAGAGGCAGACAGGGACAGAATGACTGGCATTTCTACCTTTAAAAACAGGGTCCTTCGTTGATGTTTGTTTTTCATTTAATTTTAGATAAATTATTGTTATTTAGATTTTAGATTTTTTTAACTACAATATAAATTGGGTATATTAAAAATAAATATACAGCTTCATTTTTTTTAATGAAATGGTAGGAATTGCTTATGATAAATTTATAATATGTTAATTTTTTTAAAAGTTATTTGTAATTAGATTTGAATGTAATTATTTATAATACTTAATGAACCGGTTAGTGAAGTAATTGTTATAATGGATGGATCTGTTGAATTGGGTTAACAAATGAAAAAAATACACGTGTAATTGTTTATAATGGTTTTTTAAAATTATTTTTAATCAGTGAATTTCATTATATATATTATTAATTAAACATATAATTTAAATACAATAATGTATTTGCAAATTTATTGTGTAATTAGGATGGTGTATAATTATATGACTGAATCTGTCATGTTTGACGAGTATCCACGAATATTATTAATTTAATTTATAAAATTTTAAAATTACAAAGAATTTTAAAGATATTGTGACGTGTTTAG